CAGCCACCTGAACAACCTCAGCCACCTCGGTTTGATGTTAATGGGGAGGGCTCTCAGCATTCGAACTACAGATTGTCAGAAGACTCAGATCATGTAAGGGACAACTTGTCAAATGAGGATGGTGGTGATTTGTATGATGATGTACCACGGTATGATCCACTCTGCAACCATAAGAAACTTGAGTTTGTACGTAAAATGAAATTCGATGGGGTAGAGCAGTTCAAAGATGGCATTGTAAGACATTCTGTAGCACATGGTGCATGTCTGAGTTGGACTCGGAGCAACCCTACGAGGAGAGAGGTAAATATGAGAACTGTCCATGGAGGTTGTATGCAAGCTGGTTCAGAAAGGATAAGTGCTTCATGATAAGGAAAGTGGGGCTGTCACACTCATGTGCAAGGCGTCTCTCAGTTAACCAAGTCACAGCAAAGTGGATAGCCTCGGATATGTTAGAGAGATTCAGAATTAACCTAGAGTGGGCTCCGAAACAGATTATGGTTGAGGTGAAGTTAAAGCACAACATGGAGGTGAAGAAGAGAACTTGCTACAGAGCTAAAGTAGAGGCTATCAAGATATTAAGTGGGTCGTTGAGTGATGAGTATAACTTGATTAGGAGATATGTTGGTGATATGAAGAAGAGGGATAGGGATGGTCGTTTCCAGCTGGAAGTTGACCCGCACCCAGATGAGGATAAGTGCTTATTCAAGCGCTTATATGTTGGTTTTTACTGTTTGAAGGATGGATTCCTTTTGGGCTGTCGTCCTATGTTTGGTCTGGATGGCTGTTTTCTTAAAGGGGAGGTAAAAGGTATGCTTCTCACAGCAGTGGGTAAATATGGAAACAACCAGATGTTCCCAATTTCCTGGGCGGTTGTGGAAGGGGAAAATACCAACTCTTGGACATGGTTCGTGGATATTCTAACTGAGGAACTTGGTTTAATGGATTGTAGAGGGTGGACTGTTATATCGGACCAGTACAAGGTATAGTAACCATTCATGTGTTTTTAATTTGAATGTTTCTTATTGTTTGTAGACTTATCCAATTTCACTCCACTAGGGTCTGGTTAAAGCACTCCACTCAATACTACCTGAAGCGGAGCATCGAAAATGTGCTAGGCATGTGTATGCCAACTGGAAAGCCAAGAACAAGACTGACATGATTCAAAAATTGTTCTGGAAGGCAGTGTATGCATGCAACGAATCTGACTGGAAGAAGGCTACGCAAGAGATGGAGACTATACAAGGTAATGGAGATGGACCAACGCCATTTACGGACTTTATGGCTACTGATCCGACCAGATTTTGTCGTGCTTTCTTGTCTACAATTCCTAAATGTGATAGTGTCACGAGTAATATATGTGAGACCTAGAATGGCAGCATTGTGAAGTATAGAGGATTTCGTATTATAGACATGCTTGAAGGGATTAGGAGGTATATGATGGAAAGAGTGGTGATCAAGTATAATATGTTGCATGGGAGTACTGATGAGCTGTGTCCGAGAATTAGGAAATGTTCAGAGAAGGAGAAGGAGTTTGCTAGGATGTGAGGTTGAATGTTGGCGATCGTATTATGATTGAAAGGGAGCTTCGTCAAGCAACAAGAGGAATTGGTGTTTATGTTGATGAGACCAATGGTAATCAATATGTTAGGGTGAGTAATTTTTTTCTTTCTTAGTTACACCATTTTTTCATGTGTCATCACCAATATGACATTTAACAAAGTTGTTGAATGCAGTTGAATGGGGCAAATGGAAGGTATGTTGGGAATCCACCTCCAACTCGTCTAACCCAACATACTGAGGTGGATCTGCCAGGGAGCCAGCCGCCACCAACCCAACATAAATTGTCGACTCATGTAATTCGGTTAAGACAATTTATGTTAAGTTTTAGGTTTGTTTGCTAGGTGTAGCTGAAGGAAACTCTCTATCTTAGGGTGATGTTCAAGACTAATGTCAGAATGTAATCAGGCACTAAGATGCTTGTTAATGTGTTCTCCAGACTATTGTAGAAGCCCAATATTTTGCAAGGATTATGTTAGGTTCAATCGTTCCATGCTATCTTTTGTAAAGAAAATAGGTTGTTTACCCCATTTCATACCAGCTTTAAATTTCAACTTGCACATTACATACGATCGATACAAACTTACTGCTTCCACAGAAATATAATCAGTAAGACATTCGGAACCAAGAAGAAACTGAGCATATATCTAATCACTCGCAATTCATGATACAAATTCTGAGATTCAGTTATTCGATCTTTCTCAATTTTCATCCAATTGCGTAACTCCTCCTCCAACAGTTTGTTATCCTTCTTCAATCTCACTGCCTTTGATTCGGCCAGCCTTAAGCTTTCTTCCAACTTCATCATCATACCGTCAACATCATTGTTTCGTGCCTCTGATATATCAAAACTTGACTCCACCCAACGAGAAAAATTGCACCCACCTTTTGGATCCTGCAACATTGACAAATCCTAAGACACAATACATCATAAAATAGTTCATAGAAACTACGATTTGCTTACCATCCAATTAGGGCAACCATAAAATTGTCTGCCTGGGTTCAACTCAGTCCCAGAAGTTTGTACCAAAGCAGGGACTTTGCACTTGCAAATGACAGCACCAACACCTTCACTTTTGATGTTCGTTGACCCAGAATCGGCAAAATCCCTGCCGACGTTTCTCCGCCCAACCCTGCGCGACATGGATAAATCGTCGACTGGAACCAGAGGGAGAAGTGAGGGCGATTGAAAGGAGATAAGGAGAAGGCGATGGGTAAAGAGAGCAAGAGAGAGAGAGAGAGAGAGAGAGGGGGGGATGGGATTTTCCTCCGTAAACCTAGAATGGAAGGTGGATTGATAATGGTCGACAATGGAGGAGTGGGATTGATAATAGGTAAAAATAAATAAGGTAAAAATAATAGGTAAAAATGAAATGGCAAATTGTAGTCGAGTTGGCGATGATGTGGCAACCGCGTGGTATCCACCTCAGCGCCACGGAAGGTTTACTGACGGCGTCTGTCTTTCCGTTTATGTTTGAAACGGAAATGGCTAAATTTGCCAGGCAAGTTTTCAAAAGTGGCTATACGAGTGTATTTTTCAAAAAATGGCTATATTTGTCACAATGCGAATAGTTATGGCTATGAAAGTGTATTTTGCCATAATGTTTCAAAGAAACAATGAGGGATCACTCCGACTCTAAAAATCAGTTTGTATGAAACTTCTCAAATCACACACAAGGTACCTGTTTGACATCATATATGAATTGACGGAACATAAAAAGCATACTTAGCTCCCATTTAAAGTCATAAAGAAATGTGTTATTCACACCAATGTTTTTAACTTGGTCGTTTTGCAAAAAAGTGACTGTACTCCACGAAAATAGAATCCTCTCAGAACTAATTACCATTGTCATGGGTTGGACCCTAAATGCAATGGTCCGGTCCGTACCGGACCACACCGGACCAAACTGTTGTTAAGACCGGACCGGACCAGACCGAGTAAAATGCGGTTCGGTCCTTGGTCCTCCTGATTTTTATAATTACTGAAGAAATGGTGGACCGAGCTCATATTTGGACCGGACCGAACCAGACCAAATGGACCAAATGCAAGAATGGTCCGGTCCTTGGTCCTAACATGTCTTTCACTAATGGACCGTGGTTCTCATGAGTTTGGTCCGGTTCGGACCGAACCGAACCGTTGCACACCCCTAGTTATCTGCATGTGGGATGGGGCAACTAAGAGTGGGTCCCATTCGGGAGGGGGAATCATTATTATGGACCCTGCTGGCGGCCTCCTCTTGGCAGGATGGTTGCAATTTCCGGATGTGGATGACCCGATGGTTGTGGAGTTGTTAGTCTTGCGAGAGACCATTCTTTGGTGTATGGGATCAGGATTTTAGGAAGTCTGTTTTGTTGGGGATGCTAAGGTGATTATTGATAAAATTAACAAGGCGGATACAAGGGACAATCGGTTTGGGACTGTTCTTGAGGATGTCGTTCGGTTGTTTGCACTTCATACTGGTCTTTATGTGCGATTTGAAGGTCGGAATAGTAATAAGATAGTCCATTCAATGGCTAGAAAGACTCTCTCTTTATACCCGACTACGTGTCGTTTTTTTATTTTCAGAATTGCCTGTTTGTTATAATCGATTGTCTTTTTGTAAGAAAAATCCTACATTCAATGCACATCAAAACTACATACAAGGTTGGACAGCATACACTGATTTGCCGAATATGCCCGGCCCGGAAAGTAACCTGTGAAGCCGCCCGACAGTAACAATAAAGATTGAGTTAAATAATTGTTAGTGTAATCGGATCTAATAAGGTGGCCGTCCCGTACCATCATGACCGACCGACCGGCCGGGATTTAAGATAGACGGATGCTTGTGGCAGTAAATAACAAAATGAGTATAGAGTGGAAGAAAGGTATCGTGACCGCACAACTGACCAAGTACACAGACGACGATTCTGAAGCCTGCCATCCTAACCCTTTTCTCCATAGGGCTCTATCTGCCGATTTCCAGATTCCCCACAAACAATAATCACTCCTTTGCAGAACAGAAACATTCCTTCTATTTTATTCAGGCCATGCATTGTTTCCCCCTTTGTTTAAATCGCAAGTTAATTTGAACGAAAGAAGAAGCAGCAGCAGAAAATTGTGCAAAGAATAAATTTTGGGCGGCGTGACAGGACAGGACGACCTGCCTTCCACTCAACTAATATATACATACATTACCATACCACCAAGCTTTCCATTTCCGTGAATTCTTCCATCTAGCTTTCTTCCGACTCCGGCCAGCATTTCCAGGTTCTCTTCTTATTCATTATGCTCTTGTTCTGCAGATTTTCAAGCTATGAGATTTGGTTTGTTTACTACTATTACTTGTCAAGTTGTAATGGAAGGTTAATTAGCTTCTGGCTGCTACTTATTCAATGCAGAGTATATTTTCTCAAGCTTCACAAAGTTAGTGAGAGAGCTTGTACAATTCATTTCCTTGACAGAGATGTCTCGAAGGGTGAAGCGAAGGATTTCGGAGTGCTCAATTGATGAGGCGACAACCCTGCCAGACGACATACTCATCCAAATCTTTTCCACCCTAGACTATCGCAGCAGGGCAAGCTTCGCAGCAACTTGTCAATCGTTCAGACGTCTAGGCTCGTCCCCTTGCCTGTGGGGAAGTCTGGACCTACGCTTCCACAAGTTCGACACCACGATGGCCAACTCCATCTCCTCACGGTCCAAACACCTCTCAAAGCTCGAGTTTCGCGGCGTAGAATCAGCTGACGCCATCTTTCATCTTCGCGCACAAAGCCTGCGCGAACTCAGCGGCGAGTTCTGTCAGGGCATCACTGATGCTACAGTTTCGGCCATAGCTGCTCGGCATAAATTGCTACAGAGCATACAGTTCGGCCCGCTCGCGTGCGAAAAAGTGAGCAGCCAGGGGATCGAAGCCATAGCACATTGTTGCCCCAACTTGACAAGGCTCCACCTCTCTGGCGTCAGGGAGGTCACCGCCGACGCTCTCAACTCCCTGGCTTCTCGTTGTGTGAAGTTGGAGGATGTCGCATTCATGGACTCCAACGATATAGACGAATTCGCATTGGGCAACCTCGCGTCTTTGAGGTTTCTGTCAGTGGCTGGGGCGAAACGATTGAATTGGGGGCTGGCATTTCAGCATTGGAGGAGATTGCCGAATTTGGTGGGGTTAGACGTGTCGAGAACAGATATAGCATTTGATTCTAGTACCAGATCATCATGGCTTTCCTTGTCAGACAAGTTACAAATCGCGATCGCGTTGGATTGCCCGAAGTTAGAAGAACAGAGCGGTACTGCTGTCAATTACTATCTGGAGAAAATGAAGCATAATGTTAATAAAGATGATGACGGAAGAATGAGCGGATTCGTTGATTGGACGGAGCGGGCTGTGTCTCAGTCACTTGTGCGTATGGCGGAGAACAACCTGACGGGGACCAAGGTCGTCGACCCGTTCTGGGACAGGACAGGAGCGACTCTGTTGCTGCATCTGCTACGAAGCTCGGAAGTCGATGTCCGAGAACGAGCGGCCACTGCCATCGCCACTTTCGTTATTGTTGATGATGATGACCACCCAGCTGCTACTAGTACCGTTGATTCTACGAGGGCTAGAAGGATTATGCAGAGCGGCGGGGTGGATGTGCTGTTGAGCTTTGCAACAACTAGTATTCGACAGGGGCTTCAAATCGAAGCCTTGAAGGTAACGCTGCGCGCGATAGTTTGTTACAAGCGCGCTTATCATCAATTGGAAGCGTCAAAATGTGGAAACTTAAAATTGTTATTATAATTCAGTTGTTTGTTCTAATGTGCTGTTCTTCTTCTTGTCACAGGCTATAGCAAACTTGTGCATGGATTCCCAAGTTGCCAAAGTGGTGGCAGAGAATGGAGGGATCACAATCTTGTCCAACTTGATGAGATCAAGTAACAGATTCGTAGTGGAAGAGGCTCTTGGAGGGCTGTGGAACCTTTCTCTGGGAGAAGAGCTTAAGGTTCTTCAAAACTAGAAACAAATACATACATTTATGATTTATGTCGATGGAAATCGATCGTTTCGTATACTGACGACTATATATATAAGCTGGTTTTTCAGGGTTTGATTTCTGAAACTGGTGGTACAAAAGCTTTAGTGGACCTCATCTTCCAATGGCCACCCAGCAGTCATGGAATTCTTGTATGATTATATGCATCAAACTTTTCTTTATGACTAATTTTTTTGCAGTATGTGAAATGAAAGAAGATGTGAGTGGGTTATTTATGTATGTGAATCATTGACATGTAGGAGCGTGCAGCAGGGACTGTAGCAAATCTAGTTACTGACGAAAAATGCAACTTTGAAGTGATGGCTGCGGGTGGTGTGCGCGCTCTTACTCTGCTTGCCGGATTCTCGGAATACGTTGGAGTACAAGAACAGGTGACTTTGGTGTTACATCATGCATCGTCTCCCTATTTCTGGATATGTAATGAAAATGAATGAATTTGAAATTAGTTGCATTTCGAAAGACATGTAATTAAAACATCTATTTGTTTCGTTATTCATTTACCTTTTTTTTATAGTTATTTTGGATTTTATCAGTTTTTAATTTCTCGAACAAATATCACAGTTTTCTAGAAATTACATTTTACTGCCTGAATTTATGTTTTCTTATACTTTAGTACCTAAGGTCTAATATTTTTAGAATGGTTTTTGTGTTTGAATTGCATTTTAGTACCTATATAAAATTTTCCTTGCTTTATGGTACATGAGCTATTACATTGTTACACACACACACACGTCTTTTCTAATTTCAAATCACTACTTATATGTTTTTACAATTTCAAAGTTATAATATATACTAAATATGTTTTTGAAAATTCCCTAAATGTATTATTAAGTACAAATTCAAGTACCACATATAAATAATATTCAAACAAATGAATCATTATTTGGGATTTAAAATCCCAAATGCCATAGATCCTGTCCAAACGCAATCTAGCTGTAACCATATCAAATCAACAATTAGTGCCTTGTTCTTTATTCTTTCATTAACAGTTTAGAACTTGCCTTTTTAATTTCGTACATATATATATGTATATAAAGTTTCAAAATTTGTGTAATTGCTCTCTGTTAATTAGGCTGCTCGAGCATTAGCGAATCTGGTTTCTCACGGAGATGTTAATGCTAGTAACTTTGCTGTTGGGGAAGAGGTTGGTGCAGTTGAAGCCTTAGTAAGAATCACATTTTCTCAACATGAAGGAGCAAGGTATAGTTTACTTTTCTCTTCCATTCAAAATAACCTTTGAACTCATTAATCAACATATATGTAAAGACCAAACTCTCTCGATTTTTCAAAAATCTGTTGTAGAGGTTGTTTGAATGAGGTATTTTGATAAAGAGGAATTTTCCGAAAATCTTTCTTGTTCCAATCTTTTCATTGTGATGCATGCACATATAGGTTGGAAGCTGCTGGCGCTTTATGGAATCTGTCATTTGACGAAAGAAACAGAGAAGCAATTGCAGCAGCAGGCGGCATCGTTGCCCTTGTAAGACAATTCATGCATATCTTAACCCTATTTTTACACCTTATACCTTCCTTTCTAGTTTTTTCATTCACATTTAGTGTTAATGTGGTTATCACAATTTAATTTGATTTGTACGTTGCTGTGTAGATTTCCCTGGCAAAATCATGTTCGAATTCCTCTCATCAAGGAGATCTTCAAGAACGCGCAGCAGGTGCTCTCTGGGGATTATCAGTATCCGAAGCTAATAGGTACGTACTAGCTAGCTAGGATCTGCATACCTTGTGCAAGTAGTAGTACTGCAAATTCACGGTCGTTGATAACATGTACAGCGTTGCAATCGGAGAATATGGTGGCGTACCTCCACTTATCGGGTTGGCATGCTCCGATATAGAAGTAGGTCACATTTTATCCATCTTTCATTCACTTCGATGGTTGATAGACTTTTAATTATTTGGGGATTTATGTCGGTTTGATTTATTCAATTTGGGATTATTTTGGTTATTGGGAATATTGTGGGGATTAATAATTTGGGGTAGTTAGTAGGTAATTGTGTTTTGGGTATTTACTATTTAGACTATTGTTTACGTAGAGAATGGTAAGCAAGAATTAAACCTAAAACTATCTCTCTCTCTCTCCTCTCTTCCTCTCTGGCAGCCGAGCCATCTTTCCCCTCTCAAAGCTGCCGCACGGCAGCAGCCTTTCCTCCCCTCTTCTCATCCCCCAATCCTCCCAAATCTCTCTCTCTCAATCTCCCTCAACCCCGGATCAATCCCTAGTTGATCCCCGATCCCCAATCGTTCGATAGAGCTTGACCTAGAGCTCTATCATTTGGTATCAGAGCCTGGTTCCGAGAACGAGTTCGTCATAACTCTCAACCAGGGACAATTACTTCGCAACCCAAAGTCAGAATGAGCTCGTCACAGCTCTTCGATCTGGAGTGGCCTCAATTGCAAGAGCTACTGCAGCAAGTGGAGGAGCTGCTGAGCTCGACGGGGGACGGCGGGTCGGTGAGGAGGCCGGCGCAGGTGGAGGAGCGACGACCTTCACGGCGGGACGAGGGGGCGAGCCGCCGGACGGATCGCTGGTCAGCGGAGAAGGAGACGACGATGGCGGGCGGCGTCTCGAGTAAGATGAAAAGGAAGGAAGAGGTTGGTGGCGGCTGGGGCTCTCTTCTCGCATACCCTAGCTCGCTTGATTTGGGCCAAGGAGCACAACAGGAGTAGTTGGGCCAAGCGAATGGGCCTGCCCCTTCTCCTGCAGCCAATATCTTACTTGGGCCAAAGGGAGTGGCTGGTTTGTTGGAGAAAGAAGATAGAACCGTAAAAAATGGGCTCAAATCGTTTGGCCCATTTGTGATGGGAAGCTGTTGCGGTTTGGGCCACAAGTTGGCAAGTGAGGTGATGGTTGTTGGGCCAAAACTTGGATGTGTATGGGCCAAACAATGGTTGATATGCGGGCCGAGTTTGGGAAGACTCAATATAACTCAAGGATATGATGGATTGCATCACCATAAAGGGCTTGGGCCACAAATGAGTCCTCTGGTTGGTTTTCTTTATGGTGTGGACTTTAAAGAAAAAGGTGTGGGTTTATGTGGTGGGCTTAATGAGGAACCACTTTCTCGTTCTTACTTTGTGGAGTTTGAAAAGGTGGAAGGAAAGTCATTTGGACATGGGTGTGGCATGCGCCACATGGGTATGAAAGAAGCAATGAGTGTCGAAGTTGCTGGTGTGGGATTCGTGCAAGTAGTGGAGCACAATTGGAGGAAAAGGAAGCGCCAGAAACGGAGAAGTCAAGGCGCAGATGGCATAAGAAATGTGGAGAAGTGGGTAGAGTCGGGCAACCTTGAGGGCAAGGTTGGTTTCAAGGGGGAGGGAATGATAGAAACATGGTTGTTAGAGTTTTCTATTATTAATTATGGTAGGATAATTATTATTAGGGTTGAGTCATATTATGATAGTCTATTAGGTTTTTCCAGTCTTTCGCTATATATATGTACTTTGGGTCTTTTGTTCAATTAAGCAGAAATCAGTTAAAGAATTATCCTCCCAAACTCTAAGCTTCCCGTATCTCCTAATTTCTCTTCGTCCCAAATCCAAGGCTTAGGCCGATTCTTATTCTGTTCTTCCTCTCCTAATCCCAATCTCGAATCCCTAATTCTATTCTTAATCCCTAAATCCTCAATTCTCGATAGAACCCAATCCTCCCAAATCTCTCTCTCTCAATCTCCCTCAACCCCGGATCAATCCCTAGTTGATCCCCGATCCCCAATCGTTCGATAGAGCTTGACCTAGAGCTCTATCAATGGTATACATATAAGCTTGCAGAAAAAAATTGATTTCATTGTTGTATATTCAGGATGTCCATGAGACTGCAGCTGGTGCCCTTTGGAACATAGCTTTCGAGCCTGGGAATGCTCTTCGCATACTGCAAGATGGAGGGGTTTCGTCTCTTATCCATCTCTGTTCCAGCTCGCCTTCCAGAATGGCTCGGTTCATGGCTACATTAGCACTAGCTTACTTGTTCGACGGAAGGTATCTCTATACGAACCAAGCTAATTAACATTTTTTTCTTAATTTCCTGCTTGCTACTTTAGTTTCTCACAAGTTCAGTAGTCGCGATACGATAACATATATGTTGGATGCAGAATGGATGAATATGTCGCAGAAAGAGGAATAACACAGGATCCATTCAACACCATGATTGCAGATCGCATTAAGATGATAGCCTTGAACCACATGGGATCCTTTGTCCTCTCATTCTGCAGCGATCACATTTGTGATGCTGCGATGCTGTCACAGACCTCATCTGCAGCTCTTGCACAAAGGATGCAAGGGTGTTTGATACCAGAAGTTGGGTTTCTGAAATGCAGGTACAATGATATTGCACATACTGCGAGTTTAGGTTAACTTGGTAGTTTCATTTTGCTGAAATCTAGCTGTTCCTATATCCTTCTGCAGCGAGGTAGAGATGAAGCGATTTGTTGCGATGCTAAGAAGTGCTTGCCCTATATTAAAACTGTGTTCATCCTTCGCTCTTTTTCAGGTGAAATTTCATTCATCATGACTTTCTCTGTTTATATATGTTCAAGAAAATTCATAACCCGATCGACCTTACCGCTTTCAAATGCAGTTCACAATGCAAAATGGACGATACACATCACATCATGTGACCTTGTTGCAAAACGCAGGCATATCTAGGATCATACAAGCCATTGCTTCCTCTTCCACAACTCCCGTCGAAGTTAAAGTCTTTGTGAAACTCCTACGAAGTAACCTGCAACTCCACTACCGTTTGGAGGATCTTTCAAATTTTCATACTCTTGTTTGTGCCTCAAAACTTACACCAATTCTGCACAAACTCTAAGCGAATTGTGAGCCTTCATATATATACTCAGTCCACCCATTTTTGTTGTTCCGTTTACACTAGTCAATTATGTTCCTCAATTCCAGCTAGTAGTTGCATTGCATAGAATTCTGCTGTATAAAAACCAATTAGAAGATACGATTCTCTCTTCACCTACATGGTATTGTAGCCAAATAGACTCTAACGAGTTCAGTTACATACCTCTTTCGTCTTTGATAAAACGCCTCTCCTTTTTCTTCTTCTTCTTCTTCTTCTTCTTCTTCTTCAAATTGACACCCTCCAACTATCTGTTGGGGCGCACTAAACTTCAATCTCTGCTCCAGTGTCATCGTCTGATCGGCCATGTCGGTGGTTCTTCCCCTGTTCCACCTCCGACTATTGCTGACCAGCCCAATCCTGTTTATGTAGACTGCTACGAGCGTGAACAGTTAGTGTCCTCACATGAATCAATCACTCTCTCTGAAGCGCGGTCATGCCGCATATCATCAACAAGCCTACCGCTCGGGCTGCTTGGGACACGTTGGCTCGTGTCTACGCCTCTGGATCTCTAGTGATCATCGGACAACTTTGGCGGCAATTGAATCATATACAACGCGGCATTGACTCAGCTCACGATCTTTGATAAGACGGTGGCGTTGGGCGCATCGATCACAGAGGCAGAACTGGTTACAGCCGTCATTGATGGGTTAGATGAAGATTACCGTCCGTTCACTCGCAATCTGGAATCCAAGCTCGGGCCTGTCTCTTTCAAAGACCTGACCAGTCTCCTGATTAGTGAGCAACTGCACCTGCGCCGTTTTCAGTTCGCCGTCGGTGGCGCTTTCAATCTGCACGCCTTTTACTCTGGTGGTGGCAGCGAGGAGGAGGTGGTGGTCGCTGTAAATGAAATGCAAAATCCATGTAGTATATTATTGATCTTTGAGTATATATACAGCAGGAGATTATAACGTTCTGCCTATTTATAAGGAAGTGAGAGTAACTAAGTAGCTAAAACTAAGAAACAAAATATATAATGGGTAGACTAAGTCAATACACTAATATTACGCCCCCGCAAGTGAAACCTCGGAGAGGTGAAACTTGGAACAGAATTGGTGAAAGAGGAGTCGAGCCAATGATTTGGTGAGGACATCTGCAAGTTGTTCCAATGCCGATAGGTAATGAACTTGAAATTGCTTCTTGGCGATCCTTGGTCACTGGATGAGTCTGGAGGCGGGATTCTGAACGTGCAGAACATGTGGATGCACTTTGCTGGATGCAATTGCATATGAACATTGTAATATATCAGTCAATGTCGGGGCAAAGGACTTGGTATGGCAAAAGCCCTTTATATCGTTAGGGAGATATTGTTTTATATGGTGGTGATAAGGAAATAGAATGGAAGGGAAACCGTAGCAGTAGAAAGAGAAGATTATGATAAAGAATGGAGTGGGAAATGTTGGATCTTAAAGAAGGGGATGCAAGAGGGGTTTAGAAAGCAAAGAAGTTTCAAGAACAGATTGTGGCAGGAGAGGTTCGGGGAAGAAGAAGAGAGAAGAAGTAGAGAGAGATAGATGATAGGCACAAGCCTCCAAATCAATTATATGTATCTATAGCATGAGCTGTCTTGCAGCAAGAGAAATGAAAAGTTTGACTCAAGTGGAGGAGAGAGAGGGGAAGTCAGAGAAGGGGAGAAAGAAGATAATAGGAAAGGTGTTTATGGGGTTCTCTTAGGTGGAGTAATTGGCGAAGAAGAAGAAAAGAGGGAAGATACTAGAGGGAAGAAGTAGAAGAAGCAAGCCGCCATCAGAATGGCTGCAGCATATGAGATAAGTGGGTGCATATTCTGATGATATCAACAATAGTGATACGATCCTAGAAGAAGAGAGAGTAAGGGGAAGGGGAATAGCCCTATGTTGGAACAATGAACGGCGAGGAAGAACAGGAAGGGGAGGGGGGAAATGGAAAATAGGATCATAAGCTGCCGTGAGGCTTTGGGGCTCTGATACCATGTAAATGAAATGCAAAACCCATCTAGTATATTATTGATCTTGAGTATATATACAGTAGGAGATTATAATGTTATGCCTATTTCTAAGAAAGTGAGAGTGACTAAGTAGCAAAAACTAAGGAACAGAATACATAATGGGTAGACTAAGTCAATACACTCTATCAGTCGCCACTCTCGTGGAAGGGGTGGCCGATTTAATGGCCGCACCACACAAGGCTTGTATCGACCCAATTATTTCAGCCCGTGTTTACAGGTTTACTTGGTGGTGGGCCTTCCAGCCCAAAATCTATTATTTGTCACAATTGTGGAGGAAGAGGGCATATTCAACCCAATTGTCCTAGTCCATTTTCTCAATACAAGCCCAATTATACACCTGGCCCAACCTCTCACCTAATCCAAGCTTCTCATTCAACCCACTCCTCTCAACAATAGTTAATGAATTTCAGTGCTAATCATCACTTGACATCGGATTTCGATAATTTGGCCCAAGTCACCTTTGACAATGGTAAAACCCTCTCAATCTCTCATTTTGGCTCTGCTCATGCTTTTGTTTCTGATTATTCTCTTTCACTCCATAATATTCATCGTTTTCAAAATTATCTTCATAATCTTCTTTCGGTGAGCTCCCTTACACGTTCTAATCTCATTATAATTGAATTTTTTACTCATATTTTGTAATCAAGAACCACCACACGAAGCACGAAGATCGACCTCCTCCGACCTTTGGCATTAGCGTCTTGGTCGCACCAATCTTCGTTCTGTGTAGCATCTACTATCTAGTCATCAAATAAAGTACAATAATCATTCTACTTATTTATGTCATGGTTGTTCCATTAGCAAAATTCATAAAATTTTATTCCCTTCTTCATCATATCGTGCATATGCACCCATAGAACTTATATGTCGTGATCTTTGGGGCCCTGGTCTTGTTCTTTATATGATCATCAATCGTATTATGTTTTACTCTATGATCGTTACAGTAAGTTTAGCTAGATATATTTTATTCAATATAAATCCCAGCTTCTGAGTGTGTTTGTTCAATTATGTCAACTGGTTGAAAAATTCTTCGGCCTTCCCATCAAAATTTCCAATCCGATTGGGGAGGTGAATACCAAGCTTTAACTTCTTATCTTACGACAAATTGTATTGTTTAGCGGTTTTCGTGTTTCTATACTCCTGAATAAAATGGTTATGCTGAACGAAAACATCGCCATATAGTCAACAATGGTCTTGCCATGTTACATCATGCTCAAGTTCCCATCAAATATTGGCATGTCGCCTTTGACACGTCTTTCTATCATATTAATCCTACTCCTACTCCCCTTCTTAAAAAAAAAATATATTCGATATCTTATTCAAACAATCGCATGGCCTTCTCCATCTTCATTCTTTTGGTTGTTTGTACTATCCGTGGCTTCGTCCTCGCACCTCTCATAAACTACTACCTCGTTCTATTTCGTATGTCTTTATGGGTTACAGTAAATTGCAATAAGGTTACTCATGTTTTGATCAGTCCTCCGACCGCATTTATGTGAGTCGTCATATATTGTTTGATGAACATACCTTCTCCTTCTATGATCCACAATCCTCAGCATTTGACTCAATTCCCCGCACTATTTCTTGACCACCCAATTCCATTACCCAGCCCACCATTATTACCAAGCCCACCCACTATACCACAGTCCGTCCCTATTCACGATACCACCTTCATTCTCCAATCCACAAGCCCGCCTACCTATTCTCCTCTCCCTTCCTCTGCTGGCCCATCTCTTCAAACTCCATCCTCTCCACACCTGACCCACCACTAATACAACCTCCCGAAACTCACCTGCCCGAAAATAACCTTATCCCCCGTATGGAAGGGATTTATGAGATTGTTTTTAAATAAAAATATGACATGACTCCAGGTGATATGATATGTGTAGTTGGAGTTGACGTTTAAGTTGAGATGGCATCCAAATTAGCGTAACGTTAATCTAACTGACGAGATCTCTAACACCGTTAAAATTTTAAACAAAAATTGTTAGATTTGTCAACCAACCATCCAAAATCTAACTATTTAGTGTATTTCTCAAAAATTGGTTATTATTGTCAGAACTTTGATAATTGTAACTATGCAGGTGAATTTTGTCGTTTGCTTGAGGGTTTTGGTCATGGATTTGGTCATGGAAATATATCCATCATGGACTTGAACCGAAATTCATCGTTTGCCTTAGGGAATTAGGGAGATGGAATTTGTGGGGCCCACCACTTTTGGGGTTCCAAATCCGTGGACCCCACGGACTTGGACCCCACGGACTTGAGGTGGAATTTGGGTGATGGATTAAAATCCATGATGGTAAATTACCTTTCTACCCTTAATTATTTCTTTGATTACAAATTTGTCCTACTTTAATTCAATGGTCATGCAACTGTAAACTTTTATAATTTCGTATTTTATAAATATGAGAATTTATCATTTCATTTTGTAATATCGTATTTTATTTAAATATGAATGTATATGTGATTTGTTAGATTCACCTAGAAACACTTTATGCTCATCTTGTACATTATTATTTGATTGATTGTCGGATTCCACATCGGTGAGTTAGCAAGAAGATGATGAGTTGTAGCAATAAAGCGAGCAATTGGCTGCAATTGATACATAATGTTTCGTACATTATTAGATGAATTGTTTTTTTAAGAAGGATTATTAGATGAATTTTTAATTAGTGCCAAGATGAATTGTTAATTAGTGCCATATTGTAATACATTTCTATATTTGTAGTTGAATTATTAATCCACATAGTGGTAAATATTTTAAAATTTCTTTCTATATTTTGGATTAGTTTTAAATGAAAGATTTGGATTATAATATAAAAATATAATTAAATAAGGGTAACTAGGTAATTTGTATTTAATATCCACAAATCTAATCAAAGAAAGTCCATAATCAAATCCATCAAGCAAACAATAGATTTGTTCAAATCCATAATGCCACCAAATCCATCATATATCCATGGTTTTCCGAAACCCAAGTTTTACCAAAACCCTCATTTTTCAAATCCATGAAACAAACAACCCGTAAATGAACTTGTATGTTTTTTCAGATCCATCGTTTTTTTTAATCCCTACTCACACACATTATTGAGGATAAACACATGACGTGGAGGATTGTAATTTGATAGCCGACCAAAACCGTACAACAGAGATATCGTAGGAGAGGGAGGACTCATGTCATCATTAGTTTTCTATTGTTTCTTTTTATAATTATTCTCCGATCAGCAGCTCATCAGCCATCTCATTGTTCCGACTCCGAGCCTTCTTTTCCACAAATGCCGAAATTTTGTCCAAAATTTAATGCGTTCGCAACTCGTAACCCTGTCGTTAAGCTTTCCTAAAGCTTTCCTTCGCGTTCGGGTTTCTCTTTCACCAGTCGTCACCGCCATTTCTCCTCCTTCCAACTACCTTTTGCAAAGCAATACAGTTAGATTATATCCCCTTCCACTTTCTTCCTCGCCTTTTCTCTTCCAAGTTATTCCCCTTATACATTTGCCACGCGGAATCGCCAGATCTCGTCGACTCGTCTTCAAATGCGTATGATCAACTGACCGCCGTGATAAGGACAAAGGGTAGCGGCAGAGCAATTCTGTAACCGATTATGGAGAACGGAACCGCCCAGAACGGGACTGTGCATAACGCTGTCTGCTCGTCGCAATCGGCAAACGGAAGCTGCGAAGTCTGGAGCTGTAACGAATCCGATTCTTCTTCTGCTGATCATCTCGTCATCATGGTCCACGGCATCCTTGGCAGGTTAGACGCTTCGAATTCTTATTTGGGTTTTTGTTGATCTTGAATTTTGCTGCTCTTCCATGGCTCTGTTCAAATCGATGCTTGATGGCGGTTTCTTGCGCTTGGATGATCAAGTCAGTTAATTCTGTTTTCTTTTCTGATCAACAAGAGGACAGTTCTCCATCTTAATGCTTGAATTGGTAGGTTATGAAATTGGTTGATTCTGTCTTCATTATGGCCTTTCAGCTCCAATGACTGGAAGTATGCAGCTGAGCGGTTCGTTAGAAATCTGCCGGATAAAGTGTTTGTTCATTGTAAGTGTCCCCCCGTGTCTTCTGGGCATGCAGGCACTTTTGGATCTGAGTTAAAAAAGCAATGCACTTTCAGTTATATCATTTAGCTTCACTCAAAACCCCAAAAGTTTAGCTTCACTGATGGGGTTTGCTTCTGACATTCTGTAGGTAGTGAGAAAAACATGTATAGGCTGACTCTCGATGGGGTGGATGTGAT